CTACAGAAAGGCCTAGGTCTCGTGTCTATCTGCACTCCCATTGCGTGGTTTATTGGTGTCCAATTCGTACACTTTCGGCGNACAAAGTTATAGAGGAAGGGGCGACCGAGGACATCCCTGTGTAACACCACTAGATTTACGATGCGGCGGTAAAGAGGATTAGGTAAGTATTAGATTGTTGCACCGGCAAATAACGACATTGGTACAACAAAGCAAATACTGGCGGGGCTCACGATACGTGTTTTCTCCCAGGATGCAGACTACTCTGTTCCGCCAGTCATTTCAACATCATATGATGATAGTGGGTCGTGCAGTACACTTTCGTGCAACAAGCCTTTTGAGACATGAGACGGGCGCATCTTGCTGTGCGATACGAATCAAGAAAGCCGCCAGTCAGGAAGGTCATTAGAGAAGGACGGCTAAAAGTTAATTCAACCCCCCCCCCGTTACCTTCTTCGACAGGCGGAAAAAATTAGCTGGCCTAGGATGCCCAGCATAATGATCAATGAACTGCCAGCGTCACATTGGGACAAGCATCGCTCAAATCAAATGAAAGATGAAGTCAAAGGTGAGACCAAACTCCTAGAGAGAAACCAAACACCCGGTCCTCTCTGTTTTCCCATTTTGTTTAAAGAGAGAGGAGGACTTGTTCACAGTCTGACAACACTTAGATGGAGCATTTGAAACATAAAGTCGGTTTGGCTGCACTGACTACTCTGGTTTGGCCATGTGATACGTATGCCAGGCTCCGGCTGCTTCTCCGTACCTTGTTTGCTGGGGGTGAGAGGAAAACAGTGCAAAGTGGACAGTGCGAGATCTGCAGATGGAGTGTTAGAAACATAGCGACGAATCATAACAGTATTGCTGCATCTTGAGGCTACTAGTCCATCGGTAAGTCCGACGCTTTAACAGCTGACAGTACGCTCGGCCAATAGTGGTACGAATATGATAGGCCACCCCGCAGCCAAGCAGCTGAATTTTTCACTGAAGGCAAACTTATGTTCCAAGCATCCAGTCAGCAACGTTCCGTTACTCTATTAGACACTGCAAACAAGTTTTTACGGACCCCGAGTGAAGCAGAGTGAATCAGATAGCGGACTAATCACGAACGAACCTATCTGACCCTCCGCCGATGCACACATAGAGCGGCGATTTGTCGGCTTTCTCTCCTAGCGCTAGTAGCAGGGAGAGCCATCACATTAACCGACCTCCGCATCAGCACTCCTCAAGTGAATGAGCCTCCACTGACTGCCCCTCTCAATTGTATATGATACTGTTTCAATATGTAATCCTGTTAGGTCACCGGGCGGTGACATACCAGTGACGTGTAACTTCGTCTCTGACATTCCGGTCCATCGTTTGGTAGCGCAAAACTTTGCATTTAGTCTCATCTATCCAAAAAGTATGGTGTTCTGCTTGTACCTGAAAAACTCCGAACATGCGCTTTCGTCTGGACTTATTGTTGTCGGTGGTATTATTCTTCTCGGAAATAGTGCAACTAAACGACTGTCAGGCTAGGATGAGACTGTCGTCCTCGTATTCTGCTTCCAATTACTGTCGTATTGTCGATAAAGTTGCAGTTAGCTTATTTCCGATCCAGCTGGCATATTCGTTTACCGCCACACTAATCGGCGCGCTTTCGGAGTTTCTGGTTACAGGGGTCAGAATTAATTTTCCCCATTTCACTCAGTGCGCCAAAGTCCGGGTTTCCACACCAAGCAACGCCGTTGTCCACCACCCCATTCATCAAATGTTTCTCGAGTTGTTCATCACATCATGCTGTCCATTGCAGAAGAATTTGGTAAGCAACCGGTGGATCTGTGGCTGGACGAGGTTTCGCTCTTACATAAAAGCTTCTTTAGGCGAAATGAGTAGGTTCTTAGCTTGGTCGGGGTTTAAGGCAGACGGGGAACCAATCGGCAAGATCGCTTTCGATTGGCAATTCAGCGTTGAATGTCGATTAAAATGTCTTGTGGGTTAGTGTGGCTGTCTAAGTTTACAGTCAACGAGTCGTGGGCGTTTCACCCTTGACACTCTTGAGTGTCCTTGGTAAGTTTTATCAGCCTGAGCGGGTTCGTAAGTGCTACGACACTTTGGTTGAGAACACGAGACTACGTGACTCTTGATCGACTCGGGCTATGTATTTCAGATCTGAGCTAATTCTGTTAATCACTGTCCTGCACTGATGAGTGCACACCCCGTTACGCATTAGGTCGACCGGTCCAGAACCGTTCTCCACAGACTCACCAGCTCCACGCTTTCTACTGCTTGGAGATGCTCGTCGTTACCAAGTCCTTCTGAGACGATGACTTCTGTTCCAAACATTCTTTAATTAGTTGGAAACGATTACATCGTGTTGTTCCATAACTTTACGCGACACAACGCGGCTACAGAAAGGCCTAGGTCTCGTGTCTATCTGCACTCTCATTGCGTGGTTTATTGGTGTCCAATTCGTACACTTTCGGCGGCTGCTTGAAGGGAAAGTGAAGTTACCGAACCAATTCTACTTGTTTTCCCATCTTTCCAGGTTGTTGTTGTGTTGTGTTATTAGTCTGTGTTTTCCATAAACCCCGTCTTACGCTGGAAGATGCTTAACTCAGTCGCCTGTGCACACACAACACTTGCTCAACTTATTCCCATTCCTCTTATCCACATGCCTAGTATTTCCACCGTTCAGTTGAGTGCAAATATAGTACCTTCGTCCCACCCCCTTTGTCAACGAGTTGGATGGTTTGTTTGAATGCTGAACGTCCCAAGACTCCATGGCCCAGTATCACGACGTGTGATCGAGAACGCCATGCTGGCATGTCAGTCATCTGATGTCTTGCTGAAGCGTACCTCTTGGTTCATAAAAACCCTCTCTGAGAATTCCGGACCTTGTTAAAATGGGATATAGTGGTAAGGATAGTCAAGAACTTTAGTTCGTCCCGAATGAATTTGACTTCGTTAAAAATGCTGCTCTGTGAGTGACTACTTCCTTTAAGTTCACTGTTTCTGACTGCGACGAGATTATCAAGTGCTGGATCCAAAGTTTGATGTTCGTGTCTGAAGAAACAATGCACGCCACCGTTCACTTTGCGACATGTGTTCAATGCGCAATTTGACGGTAATTCCACTGGCGCAAGTGCCTTAAGGCAAGCGCTCAAGTAAAGAGTGAGCAGGCGTGGATGTCTTTTGACAGGGGTTCAACACTTAGAATTCGATAGACATGCACTTCAAAATGAGGGATGAGGGTTCTCAGGTGTAAACAGTGAATTCAAAGCGAATGAACTCATTGCTTAAAATTAAACTCCCGTGTCTTCCAGTCTGCGTGAAAACTGCTTGTATTGACGACTGAGTATTGAAATACACTGATAACATTTTTCTCTTTTCACACAATCCTTTTGAAATAATCGGGTTGATGTTTTCATAAAAGAAAACTGCTCCCAAGTTTCCTGAAAACTCCTCGACAGCCCCCGAATGGTTCCGCCATTCTTGGGATTCATCAAGTAGGTGCGGTCCTCAGGTTTCCGTCAACTATATGTTCTATTTGAATCCAAATTGGACTAATTTCCACAAATACACTGATTTGCAAATCAATTTGTCGATGACTATCGTTCTGTTTGTGGAGCCCGGCAATTTGGTTGCAAGTACCTGACCGCCGATAGCACTGATGATGACACCACGACTAGTAATGGAACGTATGTGATCAAATTACCAGACTCCGTGATCGAAAAACAGGTATCTAGGCGGTTCAGAGTAGGATGCCACGAGTAAGATTGATCTAGAACCTTTTGCGGATCATATTAAGCATGAAGGGACTGATGAACGATAGCTTGGCTGTCAGACTAGAAAATGGGAGCATACTAGCCACTGTTTATATTTCGGACCCGACCTCTGCGTCTCGACTGATTCTGTTTAGGCTTTGGCGACCTGGCAATATCTCAGTTCCCTTGCTTCCTTCGGGTGGAATGGCAACTAGGCACCAAAAGGGCGTTACAGGTGACCGATTATTATGGTCTCCAGCCAGGTACAAGATGAATCACGTGAGTCTCAGACAGGAAGGCCGGGTGATTGCATAACAGGCTATTTGCCTGTAGCCACTTCCTTTGAGCTTTGACGGACCGTTCCCTGTGAACTTATCTACCGGGCATAGATTTTGAATAGAACGCAATGCTCACTTCAATAGATTATGGTTAGACATGTGTGCGAAACGTCCGAGTCACTGTAACAGGTCAAACCCTGTTTAGTGATTACGATTCATGTTCACCTGCCCGCTTACACACTACTTCTTTGTGTAGCTACTTCAGTTCGCTCATTCTTGTGCTACCAAAACATAAGTGATAGAATGTAAACAAGAAGACCTTCAAGCCGAATTAGACTTTGTGCTACCGTCGTACAAAGTAAGTCTCCTTAAGACGCAAACCGGGGAAAAGGCTGAGGAACGCTGAACTTATAATTGATCTTCCGTCAGAATTGGGAAAGTATGTGAAAAAATTTTCGGATATTAAGTAGGGTTCGAAAAGAGACACTATCAGTAGGACTTCATTTTGGGAAAAACTGATCGCACGGTCACAGAAGCAGAATTCGAACACCTAATTAACTAGCACCTGAGAATGAAAGCCGGTTCAAAGTAAAGATTACTGAACTCAATAACCGTTTGTGCTCCTATCGGATTCATCAAAGAAGGTGCTCTACCAAAATTTACACGAGCTGAACAGAAACCATGATGTCCACATGCTGAAGCCAGACAAAGGATATGGCGCTGTTATCCTTAAAAAGCATATTAAGTGTCTAGAACAAGTGCAATTTTAGCCGATACGTCCAAATTTTTACTCAATAAACAACTGGACAATATGCTATTGTGCGTGAACACTTGTTTCCTCTTAGTGATTCACCCTGAATCTAACGTCAAAACTTATCAGCCAGTTTCCAAGAATCCAGCTAACTATAAGGAAATTAGCAAAGATATGACCTCCGAAAATGATAGCAACCAGGACGCCAGTCATAAAGTGGTTTACCTCGAACTGACAAACTACAACACGTCCGTTCAACAACCCAAGCTGTTGAGCCACATTGATTTCTTCTGCACTCAACAGCATGTTAGCACCAGGGACAACGATGATACGGTTTTCACCACGGGTATGCTCAACTGTGATAAACGCCGTACCGGTGCTCGCTTCGACCGTTTCAGTCACTCCCCCTGAAATAAACGAGGACACACTGGGAAGGCCAACAGTATCAAAAATGGGTGATGATGAGGAAGAAACACTCCGACATACCTGCCTGCAAAATCCATTAAGTCTGTTACACTCACACATTCCGTCAAGTCCGACTGTCGATCCCATGTAAAGCACTAACCATATACGTGCCTTGGGAATTAAAATATGCAGCAAGAAACGGTTCTTGGTTCTATCTCTGGATCAGACAGAACAGTACGTCAATTCAAAGTTGATGGGAACTGTGTTCTACTTGCGCAGGTGCTGGGTTCATTGGGCAAGTCGCGCTTCTAGGAAACAATGCCTCAGTTGAAGGGGCTGGTTTTGACCGTATTTTACTAATCTCTATCAGGGTGGCCTGTTGATTTATCTGTATGAAAGTTCAAAAGTTCAACACCTCTTGGTTAAAGGAATAGCGAGGATCTAAGATAACGTTTTCGGACTACTCGGGATTTTTTGTAACCGCTTGCCGAGAAGAGAGTGCATTTTATGCTAGTGGTTGCAGACTGGCTGCTACTAAGTTTATTTCGACGGTTATCACAGCACAATACAGGGGTGAGCCAAATATGGAGAGAACGGATCGAATTCGATATCAGACACTAATGTCCATGTGGAAAAATTGGTGATGGTGTCCGGGTCGCCAACACCCTAACCATGTATAATTTTGAGTCACTGGGTAATACGCGAAACTGCAACCCCTCTTCGTACATACAGCATAATTGCTCGATGCTCGCACAGAATGATTTACCTAAAGTGAGCATTGGACTAACTGCGACGGGAGCCGCAGCCTTCTGGGAAATCAACTACGGAGTATTCCGGCCCAGCAGCCTTTCCATTAGCCACATTCGAAAGTGTCACATACCAATAACTAGAATGATTCCATAGCTTTCAAACTTCAACTTTCCGGATAGGCAGACTACTCTCAAACACTCCCTCCTTGATTCAAGGGAGAGTATTAACTATGATGGCCATTTGATCCGTGTTGGAAAAGACTTTGATCTGGGTTAAAGAACGAGAATGCCACAAGGAAACCTTGCAAGTCGACCGACCCCCCTCTACCTTTGTGATCAGCATACTATCGGAGCCATTGAACGAAAAGGACAATGTTTAACTAGCGAGCGCCAGTGGGCGTTTACGTAATTCCCAAATGTTATTGCATCGATGTCTCATTGGTCCCGCTGAGTTCTGCGGATAAGGTCCTTTCAACTGCGTTAAGCTTCTGAATCTCGAATATACTGAAATCCTGATCGAAAAACTACAAAACATAATGCCTTAGACACAGTGTGCTGCGACGAGAGTAAAGGGGACCCGTCAAACAAAGGTTACTCCATAATGAAACCGCAACGCCGGAGACTTACTTGGTGTAGTATGTATAATAAAATGTGATGAAACTTTGAGAAAATTTTGCTGCATTGATCGACGATACTGGATATTGACATTGCTCAGCTGATGGCCGTCCCGTTCTCTCATGGACTAACATGTTTCTTCTTGTTAACTACACCTACCAATCCCCATGCACAGTCCTAACACAGATGCATGCTCACTGGCAAGAAACGAACACTTGTTAGCAAGCTGAGCCAAAAGACTCTGAAGTTCGGCAAGGCATTTGACCGCATCGACCGGCTATACTAATGCTAAGGGAGATATGTAAACTGAGGCTAGGCGAGTCACTGCGCGACTGGATGTAGCCTTTAATTTCCAGAGAGTAAACATAACTTTTTCACAGGAATGACTTGAAACAGTGACGGCCCCACAAAGCGCTGCCGCGGGGTCAAGGCCATTCACGCTTTACATCAACACCCCATTATGCGAATAAGCCCACCATGTATATGGCTTACCGATCATCTACAAAGCTGGATTGTTGCCGACAGACATACTGACGAAGTACAGTTACGAGCAGATCTGGATAGACTAGAAGAATGTTGCAGGAGATACAAACAGCCTAGCAAAGCAAACGAGTCGGGACTTATGATATGGAGCGGGCATGGAAGAGAGACGTACATGGCTCGGATTCTGAGCTTATTCCACTAATGCGGACCACGCACTGGTTGAGTATTCATCCAACACGACCTGAAAACACATGCCCAAACGGCACTAGCATGGATCAAGGGTTTGAGGGTTCTGTGAGCGTCAAGTAAAAACGCTTGAACCTTCATCCCGACATTCCAAAATGCTGAAGGCGGCATTCGGCCTACCAGACAAGAAATGCGGAGAATCCACGTGTCGCCTGTGCACAGTGTAAGGAGCATTCCTTCCTTCGATCAGCTATACCAAAATTTCAGCGCCTAGCTGTAATGCCATCCGAAGGATGCACGAGGGTGGAACATTGTCAGGTCGCCTAGGTTGGGGCATTCAGGATGCTGAAGTTGAGTTCGTACCGTGGACCTGCTGATCAGTAAATTTGCGCCTTGACCACTGAGCCATCCCCATCCAAAGAAGCGCAAGGGGAAGCATGCTGGCTAGCACAAGTACGTAGGCTAGGTACCAGAACGGTATCCGGGACGTGAAACCTGCGTATGGACAAAGATCCGCGGTTTTACTCTTCAATACAGGCGTCACAGGGCATATCTGCTATTTCTCTACAAAGGGGTAAAACAGGAACGTACCACGAATTCCTGTAATTAAATCTAAGCTGAAAACTCGGCGGACAGATAGATGGATCATATGTCAAACCGAGCGATGGTAGAACAGAACCTCTTTCTTGCCCGTGCAGACCGGGCTGACACATCAAGTCTATTAAAGATATTAATGGATCATGGCTTTGCCTCTCCAAAACCCGAGGAAGCACTGGAGATGGAATCTCCATGAACCTAAAGATTTGAGCGTTGGGGACGAAAAAGGCAACTATCACCCGCTGTTCTCGGTAAAACAAATTGAGACTCAATTGATATCTCACGTGCTCCGGGTTTTTTAGACGTACTTTTAGCGTGAAACGCAATTATTCAGGTTGTAGAGCAAGAAATTTAATGGCTAAGAACGTATGCTTGATGGGGGGTTGAGTCTATCTGAAGTTAAATCACGCAACATATTATTGTTATGCTGACGTCAAACCAAAGCTGTCACCTTGTCGAGGTGGTCGGGCTTCTGTGCTGCAGTGATCCTGAGGGCTATAGTGGCTGGAACCCAATCAAGCCAGGAAGATCAACAAGGAGCAGCTCGACGAAGAACAGCGAGTAATCGCACTGCGTGGCGGTCTGGAGGTAAATCGTACTGTACTCTGCGATATGAGTGTGATGGCAGTAAGGCGTTTCCCCCATGAGACCAGCATGCCCATATTTATGGGAGTAGCGACGCTGCCCTCCCCTGAGAGGGCAGGTTAGAAAAGTTCGTCTCAAAAACTGCATACTCCGATCGCCCAATGGTTGACGTGACTGCCGGCGCACCATTTAATAGGGTCGGAATACTTTTAGAACCAAAGAGCCCGATGGTGCTCAAAAGGCATCTTCGGTGCGCAACCGCAACATGAGTGAGACAGTAATGCCTTACTCCCTGCGCCCTCGAGCCAGGCCGGCCCCCTACAGCCAAGCAGGTCAGACTAGTGAGTCATGGGCTCCGATAAGAGTCCCCCAAGAAAACCGTAACAACCGCTGTCTCTCGGTCTATACTCTTGAGTCAAAGGCTAGGGACAAGATCCCCGAACAAAACCTTACATTCCCCCACTGTCCTGTGGGTCATACTTTTGAGTCAAAGGCTCAAGGTGGGGTGACTCAACTAAATCCCCTTCTTCGGCCTGGGCAACCGGAGAGTAGCACCTGCCCTTGCAGCTCTACGCTCACCGGCCTTCCCCCTCATTCCCTCCCAACGCATCGTACCATGCAGTACAATCAACCAATCTGCCAACCCCCTAGCAAATATTCCGTTTCTCAACAATCACCCAGAAAAACAAGCCAAAATAATCACCTGCCAATCTCAAAAGATTTGAGCCACGTTGCAGCCTTTAATGTCCGTACTATAAGTCAATTTGGAAAACGAGCATCTCTTGCTGAAACCTCGCTTTCATATATGTCGATGTATGTTGCCTCCGAAAGACTCATACAAGACCCCACTTCAATCGTGCACCTCAAGCCGCTTAAGACGAGCTCGGATGCCTCCCATTTCACTTTTTGGGTATCCAGTGGTTTTGAAGCAATGGCTCGGTGTGGGAGTTGCACTCCAAGGCTAAAAGTGCCTTATTGGACTGGATTCCAGTAAACAGCTCTCTTTGCAATCTGCAGTTGTCTGGCTCAACTAAGGTCAACTCAGGTCGATGCTGAAAACGGTATTTATTTGTCATATCAGCATACGCCCCAACATGTACCAGATCTGAGGCTGGGAAGGACGAGTTCTATTAAGATCTGTCACAACTGCTTCGGTCAGCAAGAAAGACGGATATAGTAATCCTGGCAGGCGATAAGAATGCCTAGGTTGGACGACTAACTCCTGAAGAAGCAGTTAGTTGGTCGATTTGGAGTCGATGGTGGGCATACGGATAATTGAGAGCGGCTTCTTCGGTTGTGTGCAGATCACCGCCTGTTCCTGGCCAGTATGAACTTCCAACACAGACACTCACACCGAATTACTTGGAGGCCCCAACAACAAGTCAGCCGCGGATTCAATTGGACCATATGGCTATTAGTTATCGATGGAGAGCCTCAGCTAAGGATACTCGTTCCTTTTGGCGTAAGCAACTTGACTCAGATCACGCCATCGTGCGGACCCGCTCATCACTTCGCTTTCTGTCAGCACTATATGTGACGACAAGTTTCAATAGCTGAAGAGTATCTGGTTGATCTGGCTAGAAGGTTACTGGAAACGCACAGTAATGTGGACGGCGAAGATTGCTTGGAGGATCAATGGAGTTGAGTTAAAGAATCAACGTTGTTAGCCTTCAGAACTGTTTGTCCAGCCCATCTGAATCGACTCAATGAACACTGGATAGTTTCGAAAACAGCAGATAATATTGCTGCCAGAAAAGTCATACCAGCAACTAGCGACCATGATGACATGCACATCCCTCAAACACCAGATAATCAGGAGCTTGAAGAATGACAGAGAAGGCTGGTGGGTTTCGAGGGCCTATGAGATGGAAAACGCTTTCGCTGCAGGCAACAGCAGCGCCCTGTTTCAAATGATCCGTCAACGGATCAAAAGAAGGCAGGTATCAGTGGGGCAATATGCGAAAGAGAAGGAACAGCAATCCACTCCCCCAATCGCTATCTTGAGCGGCGATCTGAGCACTTCCAAGAGCAGTTTACCTGGTCTCTTTCCACACAACTACTGGAAGAGGTAAGCGGGTCCGAATGGAACATTGACACCAACCCACCATCAGTAACCGAAATCCAGCATGCGATTTCAATCCTGAAGTGCGACAACACACCCGACCCGGATGATTTACACCCCGCGCTCTTCAAAGGTGGCGACGTCCTAGTGAACAGTCTGACAACTATACTACAGATTTGGACCGAAAACGGAATACCAGCCGAACGAAGCTCCTCGAATGTAACTCGTTTTTAAGAAGGAAGCAAGGAAGTCATGTGAAAACCACCATAGTATCAGTCTGGTATCCGTCGCATTGGTCAGGTCTGGTGGAAACAGCGGATTAGTAATGCTGAGTTACGCCATATGGTCTTAGTATAGAGGGACTCCCCCGCGATAGGTGAAATACTCACGCTTCATAGGTTTCACTGGTTGGGACACGTAATCCACACGCCATAAGACCGTCCGCTAACAGAGTTTTTTCCAGACCTGTTCTGAGTGAAAGCAACCAAAAGGTGGACAGTGTATGACCTGGCAATGAAGTACGAAAACACTAACCAGTAAACTTAGTCGGGTGGGAAACTGCCGCCGACCCAAATCAACACTGACTAATGACATCAGCGGAAATGGCCCAATCGCGCAGCCAGTGGTGCTCGGGCATCAAAGCTATTGCCTTTAATACGTAGCTAACCAATTTCTGAACAACCTGAACATACCTTCGCCTCCAAGGCTTGGTTGTATATTCCACTTTCTCGTTTTCTGGTGACTGAAACTGCAGTGGCTGGAAACAATGTGCCTGTGGCACACAGTTTATAGCCAACAAATCGAATTGAATTGTCATGCTGACGAAGTGACTGAGGGTGAATGTATCAAGATATCATCAGACGATATGAACATGTTTTCTAAAAGCCTAAAACCAGGACTATATTGTGAAAACTCGGCGCAGAACAAATCGAAATAGAAGAACAACAGTCTTGCAATAAACTACAACTAACTTCTGGCGACCGACCAATTTTATCGCGGCATGCGCTTCACGTTGTTTCTCTTTCATCTTGATGTCCACTCAGAATTAGCGATATTTCTTCGTGTTGTACCTCGAGGCACAGTTCTGCGTACAACTCTCTCTTACCCAAGTATGCACCATGACTTCCTCTATCTCTCGACCACCGTAAAGGGTAGCCATCTGGTTCAAGTGAGCACGGGGACTCAGTTTCTCATAAGTCTTGGTGTCAGTTGTCTCCGGTGCACCAATCTTTAGCTTAACCTCTGGCTGAAGCTTTTGACACGACTTAAACAACTAATTCTTAAAAGTATTAAACGATGAATATACCAAGCTTGGGTTGTTCTGGCCGTTGTTATTTTGTAACAATTGTGGCGGGATAGTTGCTGTATCGGCAGATGCTACCCAACCCACATCCACAAATGCCTCAGAAACTCACTGCGGTCAATGCCAAGTGCATCCAAGCGAACAATAAAGTTCTGCCCGAATGTATCAGAGCCAATCTGAAGCTGTAGTGATTAAAGCTTTCTTACTTTTGCAATGAGGGCCACATTGGATCCCAGTAATCTAGCAGCTACAGCTTGATTAGAACCTTTCCCGCCGAAGCCCATGGCAAAACTTCTGCCCATAACCGTTTCACCTGCATTTGGATGTCTTTCCACAAATCTGTTGGAATAATGAAACCCAAAATCGAGAGTTACATGGACAAGTCGGTATTAACCGATCCTACCACGACTACATCGAATTCACACATATCACGCGCTTCTGGTTGACCTTGGGATTCAAGGATTCACGGATTGATACCCAGGATCGTGTCTTTCGCCCAGGATTCCCGGGTCGGTTTCGTCCCTAGCATTCAACAGCTGCAGTTCACCTGAAAGGCACAAGCGAAAAATGGTGTGGAAATGCACGCTAAGTTCTCAGCACCGGGCAGTGGGCTTGCCAACGCGGACTCGCATGAAAAATGTCTAATGGTGGTTTGGACTGGGTTTATGGTAATCCTTCTGACCATTGTACATTAGTACTTTCTTTGTAACTTATCATTACTCAAATTGTACCACTTTCTATTCCTCACCAAATCTCAGCTTATTCCTCTTCTCTTCATACCGAATAACTTTTGTTTAAAATGACAGCAAAAGAAATAAGGATGCATACAAACAATACAAATTCTGTACTTCATGAAAGGCGTGTTCCCTTCTTGCTGTGTCGAGTTACGCTGTCAGTGACTTAACGAGCGGTGATCTACCTTTCAGACTACGACGGGATAGGAAGTATCCAGGAGTATATCAGTGAATTAGCGAGCCGTGATCTATCTTTCGGACTACGACGGGGTAGAAAGTATTTAGGAATATATCAAGGAAGATTCCAGGAATGAGATCGATTTGGATTTATTGTGGTGGTAATAACTAACTGTACCAACAAACTGTGAGTTGTATCATCTCGCCTACTTGTTCTCACTTGATTTCGCTACTTTGAACTGGTATTTGTTCACGATATCCACTACATTATTGGTGAGCGCTAGTTTTATTTATCTTTGATCACCTAGAACTCCCGTATTCATTTTTTCTCATTACTATCATGTCTGATTCAAACGATTCACCTATGGACTCGCAAGATACTTTGAGTTTTAGACTACCAGCTTACGGCATTCATCACCCTAGACCGTGGTTTGCTCAGGCAGAGGCAATTTTTGAGTGCCGTCACGTTAGATCACAACAAACCAAGCATAGTTGCGTTGTTGCACATCTTCCACGTGAAGTCGCTGTCGAAATTGTTGACACCATCTACGAGAAACCTGATGTTAACCAACACGATGTACTAAAAGATGCAAGATACTAGAGAACAGCAGCCACCGATGAACAGAACCTCCGTGTTTTACTTGCCGGCGTGGAACTAGGTATTCGTACCCCCGCTAAACTACTCCGACATATGACAGAGCTACGAGGAAAGCAGGCGGTAAATGAGAACATCCTCAAGGAGTTGTGAATGTAAAACCTCCCTGTGGACATAAGGAAGGTCTTGTCGGTTTTCGACAAAGACACAACGCTGCCAAAATTGGCCGAATTGTCTGACCATGAGTTTTCATGCTACGGTGTTAAGCCCTCTCCTTTAGTGCGACCNAACACACACACAGACCGACGTTGAAGCCCTGAAGCAACAAGTTTCAAAACTCTCTCTACAGATTTCCCAAATTTCCGCCAACCTAACTCACTGCTCTCGCTCAAATTCACGTTCTCATGCTACTCGTTCAAATTCATCCTACAACCGCGACAAGTCTACTTGCAGCTGCCGATGTCATCGGAAGTTTGGCTAAAAAGTTCATAATTGTGTCAAATCCTGTAACTTCCATCGTCAACAGGGAAACGACAAGACCAGAGAGTAACTGCGACAACAGTTCTTGGCCCCAACGTAAGTCGCCTTTTCCACGTTATAGATAACCTGACCCACAAGCGTTTCTTAGTCGATACTGGTGCTGAAGTCGGCGTCTTACCGTCTTCATCTAAGGAACTTCACTCAACCACGGCTCTTACACTTCGTGCGACAAACGGGTCTCGAATCCTCACTTATGGCCATCGTTCCATGACGCTTAACCTAGATCTTAGACGCACGTTTCGTTGGGTATTTTTAATAGCCGATGTACAAACTGCTATCCTAAGAGCTGATTTTCTCACACACTTTGGTCTTCTAGTAGACGCGAAAGGTAGCAGACTGGTGGATCAAGCAATCAATTTGAGCGGTGCCGGAATCCAGTGCTGTTCAAAGCCTACTACAATCAAGTCTTCACCCCCGAATTAGCTGGCCCATATGCTGACTTGATCAAGGAATACAAAGACTTATTCCAACCTTCAGC